GCATTCCTCACACAAGAAAAGAGCGCAACACTCACATATGATAGTTCAACTTGTCTTTTGGGTTGATTCTGCTGCTCGAGTTCAGTCCCCGCGAGAGGAAGCGTATTCCGCCTCATATTAAACAGAGGAGCCTCAATTCATTATTGGGGCTGCAGGAAGGCGACTCCAGCAACTGATCAGCTAGGGACTTGACACAGAGCGGGTCCTGAGTTCGTGAGGCAAGTGCGGCACCTCAGCAACCCGCCAGCCCTGGAAGTTTGCGAGTCTCCGCTTGTAAGACTGGTAGTCACCTTGACCTCCCGGACAGGTGGGGAAAGTTAGCCCTGGGCCAGAGGCGGGACGTAAAAGCGAAGGCTCAGAACTTTCTCGAGCAAAACACGCCGTCACGTTTTCCTGTTTTCAGCGCAGCTCGAGACCCAGAGAGTTTAAGGGTGGCGAGAGCAGGTGGCAGGGCTCCGCCCACCACCACTCTTCTCCTCCCTCTGCTTGCTGCTCCACTCCCTCGGTGAGGTCCCGCCTCTAAGGCGCGCGCGAAGAGTTGTCGCGCCGTGTGTTCTGGGAATTGTAGTTCTAACGCTGGGAGCCGCCTCGGGAGAGGCGACTTCGGCCTACACACCCCATGGTACCGCGCGGCGCTGGCCGCTCCCGGATGTGTGCCTGGCGCCGGAAGAGAAGACGGTCCCCCTCTCTCGGCCCGGCCATCTTGTGGGAAGAGCTGAAGCAGGCGCTCTCGGCTCGGCGCGGCCCGCTGCAATCCGTGGAGGAACGCGCCGCCGAGCCACCATCATGCCTGGGCACTTACAGGAGGGCTTCGGCTGCGTGGTCACCAACCGATTCGACCAGTTATTTGACGACGAATCGGACCCCTTCGAGGTGTTGAAGGCAGCGGAGAACAAGAAAAAAGAAGCCGGCGGGGGCGGCGTTGGGGGCCCTGGGGCCAAGAGCGCAGCTCAGGCCGCAGCCCAGACAAACTCCAACGCGGCGGGCAAACAGCTGCGTAAAGAGTCCCAGAAAGACCGCAAGAACCCGCTGCCCCCCAACGTCGGCGTGGTTGACAAGAAGGAGGAGACGCAGCCGCCCGTGGCGCTTAAGAAAGAAGGTAAAGCTGTGGTGGAAGGTGGGGGAGACCTGGGATGGAGGGAAGGAGCGAGGGGACTGGCGGCTACCACTGGCTTCTGGAGCTCCGAGGGTCCGCGGGAGACTTGGCCGCCGATTTCTTCGCGTTTCCCCCGCCTGACGAAAGTCAGGTCCTGCGAAGGTGCTGGGAGCGTGGTAGCCGCAAGTTCAAACCGCCACCTGCAAGGATCCTGGAGCCACCCCTTCCCGCCTCAGGTTCTGAGCAGAGGAGCGTGGTCGGGATACTGGGAGGCTGTTGTCTTCCCGCCGGACTCCTTGGCGGGCGAGCGCATGGGCCGAGGTTCGGGGAAGGGAGCTCCTTCTCGGAGCGTTTGTTGTTACCGGGGTGGCGGGGCCTCCACGGCTTCTTCCTGCTCAGAGCTTTCTCTCAGCCCGCCGCTCTGAGGTGCGGTTGTGTCTTTTAGGCTCCTACCCTGCCGTCTTGTCCCAGGGTGGCGTGGGATACCCCCGAGAAAAGCTGGGGATCGGAGTTTCCACCTACTTCCCCCCCCTACGTTAGAGCCTGTTGGATGTTGTGGAGCAAGGTGCCCTTTTAGGTGCCCCCTGTGCTTTATCGTTACCCCCTCGCCCGCACAACTATTGCAAACTTAATAACTTGCTGGAGTGCGTCAGGCTGTTGGGGAGGGAGAGATATTTGGCCACCCTGGATTGAGCAGAAGGGGGAATTCTGAATGAAGATTGGTGATGGCAGGAAATCCTGAAGCTTGTCCTCGGGTCACGATCTTTTTCTCCGGCCGGACCCCCCGCATGCAGTGTTTCATGTGGCGGGGCCTGGCCTGGGCCTCGTGGTGCAAAGAGTGCCGAGGCTGTCACAGCGTTAGCTGCTGCAGAGCCCTTTGGAGTGCAGCTTTTTCTCCCCATGTGCGTGAAGCATGGTCAGGATTTCATTGGCGGGTAGTAGTTGCTTCCAGGTCACTGTAAACTTCGCAGGATTGTCTTGAACTTGGTTTTTGCTCTCTCTCTCGTTACTGGTTTGTCTTTTGTGATGGATGAAAAAGCAAAACAGTGGGGGATTAGAAAAAGTGTACACGATCCGTAGTAAGTAGGTGTAGGACTTAAGCTTTGAAGCTTAAAGGTTTCCTTTATGTGTTGAAAATTGAAATTTTGCCACGTGCTTCTGAAAGGAGTTCTCATTAGCTTTAGTCGATTTGATAACATTCAACTAATTTAAATTTAAAAAGTCAAAACAATTGTGTTAGGTTTTGGTTTAGAATTTTTAGAAAATACAGAGAGAGCTTTGTGAGGCTTGGGGTGAAGAGCCTCGGTGGTAAATAAAACAGTTGTATTAAAATTACAGGTTGGGGAGGGAAGCACAAGTTGGAGTATTAGAAAGCATGTATATACATCGTTTAGGCTAAATATTCATTCAGCTAAGTTTTATAGCAATCTGTAGCACAATGTAATCTAATTTCTATGTTAAGGAACACTGGCTTGTGTATTTATTTAAACTGCTCGTTTACCTCCTTCATCACACTAATCCAAAGAAAGTATGTGAAAAAATGGAATCTGGAGTGTGTTCACCCCTTTTGAATTTTTAAAGCATAAAGCACGGTTTAAACCCCTCATATGTTTTGATCATAAAGCCCATTTTTGAAATAAGCTCTTAGCGGGAACCTAGTATTTTAAATTACAAAGTTAAAAATTTATTTCATAAATTTATGACCAGGACCGAGTTCAACATTCAGTAGTCTTTCCTTGGGAAAACTTCCATTATTACCTATCAGCATTTTCCTTAGGTCAGCATTTCAGAGCACACTTAACCTTAAATTGCATAAAACACAAGCTTATAAAAATATTGAATGAAAAAAAGTCGTTTTGAGGCCTTACCTCTTAGCAGTCAATTCTGGGCATTGGGGAAGGATAGACCTGTAAACTTGTCGTGGGATTGATTGTTAACCTGATCATGTGTTCCTTGCCTTTGAATAGAGGTCCTGGCACGATCCTAGACTTGCCTTAGATGTGTGTTTGATGTTTATATTCTTTGAATTTTGTAGTTTGTCTTTTGGCCATTTGAGGAACTTGAGAATTGACACCACCTACTCATTTGTTTTTTAATGTTAGAAGCCTGGAATCTAGTGAAAATCAAGAGATGCTTGCATTTTTAAATGTCAATCATTGGGTGGATTTATTTGTTAAGTGTTGTAGATTCTGTAAGCCTGATACTGGATATTGGGGTGGGGAAGCAAGCCATTGTTCATTTGGGTGTGTGGCTTGGATATTTATAAGGACTGGTTCCATAGCTCCACCCTAATACACTACCTCTGATGAAATTTATTTAAAATGCCTTGGTGTAAGATCTAAGATTTCTGGTCTGTCCTGAGAGTATATGGAATGGACCTTAAAATTTCACTGAAGAGTTTGACATTTACCGTTTGACTTTGGCTACAAGCAGCTGAACAATTGGGGGCATCCTGGTGGTGTTACACTTTCTTAGAAAGAACCAGAGTGAACCAACTTAATTTCTTGTGAAACCAATTCCTCAGGTGCTATTTGACTTTGTCAGAAATTGTGGTTTGGGAATTAGAGCATACCTAAAATATTAGTCATGAATTTAACCATTAATCTACTTATTATCTTTAAGGCTACCAGTAATGCATATTGGTTGCCTTTTTGGCCTCTGACACTAACAGGAAAAAAGTAATGAATGAAGGGGGAAATCAGTAAATGCTTCAGCCATCACTTAGTTTCACAAGTTTCTATTTCTGTGTCTTGCTTAAAAGGGGTCCTTTTGTGTATGTGGTTTTTAAAGATTCTTTGGAAACGAAGATACTTGAAAGGGCAAACCAAAAAAATCTCCATAATAATAAAATAAGTGGACTATTTCCTGTTGGTTGCATAACAGTATGTTTTAAAAGTTAGGTGTGGTATGTATGTATATGTATACATATATATGTATGTAGACTGCAACAGGAGAGGAAAATGGTACTTTTTTCCTGTTAAATAGCTATTTTCAACTATAGAGAAAAATTTTTAAAATTTTTTATTGAAATATAGTTGTTTACAATGTGTCAATTTCTGCTGTACAGTGAAATGATTCATCGATTATACATACAAACATTCTTTTTTCTAATCTTTTCCATTATGGTTTATCACAGGATATTGAATATATCAATAGTTCCTGTGTTCTACAGTAAGACCTTGTTATCCATCAGAGATGTAATCTTAAATGCCATTTGTTTTCCTTTCAGTTTTGTAATTTCATAGAATCATCAGTCTTTTTACTCTGTTCTTTTTTTCCCCCTCCAGTTTAAATAAAATGTCTTCACTGGAGTTTTTTTGAGGGTCTTTACCTGGTGATTGTGTTGGTTTGCTTGGTTATTATTTATGAATGGCTAATGGTGTTATCTTTGGTATCTTTAAAACCAAAATGTATCATTTGCTTAAAATTTCTTTAAATTTAGAATTTTAAATTAAGAGACTGGCATCTTGAAAAGTGAGAGAAATAATGGCTACCCAAATGACTTCCAGGTCAGTTATAGAGAATGCTTTAGGGGAAAAAAATGATTTGGCAAACAGAATGGAAGTTTGAAACAAGTTTATTTAAATAGGAATTTTTCTGAAGTACCTTGTTACACTTTAGAGATGCCCAGTGTTAGCCTTTTTCAGTGGGAAGTGCTAATTAATGGACTTAAAGAGTAAATTTTTTTTTTCTTTTAACAGCCTAGGCCTAGTTTTTTGTGTTGCAAAAAATAATTTGCTTACGTGGTTTTTTTAAAATCATTTTAGGGATAAGACGAGTTGGAAGAAGACCTGATCAACAACTTCAGGGTGAAGGGAAGATAATTGATAGGAGACCAGAAAGGCGACCACCTCGTGAAAGACGATTTGAAAAGCCACTTGAAGAAAAGGGTGAAGGAGGAGAATTTTCAGTTGATAGGCAAGATTGTTTCTTAATCTCTTCATGTTTTGTCAGTTTATAGAGAGACATCTTAACACAGATAAATTGAGCATAATTGCCAGGAAGCAGTGTGGCTAGTTAATTTTATCAGTTTTTCTAACAAAACGTCTAAGTGTGTGTGTTGTTATTCTTAGGACATTATGGTAACAGTTTTTAGTATTCAAACTTAGATTTCTTGTAATGAAACACTTCAGTTATGAAGGTTACATGTGTTTATTTTAATTTTTATGTATATTGGTGAATAGCAGTTTTACTAGATTATAATGTGAAATGAGTAACAATGAAGAAGTATGTGCATTAGTAGTAAAGTTTTAGAGAATGTCAAAGTAATTTTCTTACGTTGGGGAGTTTCCTAGTTTTGATTTCCTTTGGGATATGAGCCAGTAAATATGTTCCTGCATCTTTGAGCCTTTGAATTTCCCTTCTTCCTTTTACCAGAATCCTTAGAAGTATACAATATTTTTTTATTTGTTACAGATCGATTATTGACCGGCCTATCCGAGGCCGTGGTGGTCTTGGAAGAGGTCGAGGAGGTCGTGGACGAGGAATGGGCCGGGGAGATGGCTTTGACTCTCGTGGCAAACGTGAATTTGATAGGCATAGTGGAAGTGATAGATCGTAAGTCTTATATTGGTTTTTATTATACTTTTATATTTGAAGCTACTTCTTTAATAAAACAAAATTTGAATTTCTAGAACTAAAGAGTATTATGTTAACTCAGTTTTGTTAGTTCTTTTTCACATTACAGTGGCCTGAAGCATGAGGACAAGCGTGGAGGTAGCGGATCTCACAACTGGGGAACTGTCAAAGATGAATTAACGTTGGTATTCTGTTTTTTTTAAATAAATACTTCTAATAAAATTGATCTTATACCTTACTAGAGGTTTGACCATTAAATTTTTACTTGTCCCTGGGACAAGGATGGATGCTCTTATCTCAGAGCTACTTCCTTCCAAGATAATGAATGCTTTTTTGGATATATTTGGATTATAATGTATCAAATGACCAGTTTTTCTACGTTTCAAAAATATGTGGTATTAATTTTTCTTTTCATATGGATATATAGCTTTTATTGAAATCCTATTTTGAGGTTATTTGGGTATTACGTCATTGTATGTTTCTTATTTAATAGTTCTTATTCTAGCTATTGACCCCTTTGGTGATGACAAAAATTTGAAAAGCCAGTAAGGCTTTATTTTAGAACTAACTGCTGTCATACTACTTTTTGAGTAGTGTACTTGAGCTATAAATTGGATCAGTATACATTTTAAATTATTTTCTCTTAGTGGTCTACTGGGGAGTAAATTTAGTAGGAAAAGACATTGGGAATGTGAGAATTTTAAAATATTTCTGTGAAGACTTTCAGCTACATGTAAATGGACCTAGATGCCTTTTTTTTCTTTCTTTCCTTAGAGAGTCTCCCAAATACATTCAGAAACCAATATCTTATAATTGCAGTGATTTGGAGCAATCAAATGTGACTGAGGAAACACCTGAAGGTGAAGAACATCCAGTTGCGGACACTGAAAATAAGTAAGTGATTTGTGTGTACGGTAGCGGTAATGCTCGAGCATTGAAATGTTTGGGGTTTATCAAGAAAACAACCTGTAGGCTTAATGCTGTTATTTATTTGCTTTTTAAAAGGAGAGACTTTATTGTACTCCATTCCCTCAAGTAGTGTTTAGAGGAGTGGTTTACAAATGTATATGTTGGGCTCTAATGGTTTGACAAATAGAAGGGGTTATTTCTATTTGAAGTTACCATTGTCATCTTAAAAAGATACGTATTTTAGTAAATCCTGTTAACCCTAAGCACAAAAATAGCCGTTTTAACCTGAGAAATATTTGGAACTCGTAGTTCAAAGTACTTTGGACTCTATGTAACTATACAAATTTTATTCTAATACAGTTTAAAATGAGAAAACATGACCATTTTAAAATTAGTTTCTCCACCTCCTTGAAGTTTTTTTTTCCATCAACATAGAATTTGGAACATAGCATTATTGGCTTGTTTTAAAATGTGTGAGGAGAGCAAGCACCAGAATATGTTGTCAGTTCACTAGAAGACGGTTTTAAAATTGTTTGTTCAAGGGTGTGGGAGAGTTTTAAAGACTCAAGATATGCTAGTAGAAATAATTTAATGCCTTCCTCTGGTTTCCATCAGTACAAGCAGAAGTTATATGCCAGGCATTTCTTTCAGTATGTGGTTTAAAGTCTTGCATTACAGATTATTTAGGTCAGTAATTCTTAATCAGGGCATATTCAAATCATTAAGGGAGGCAATGCTTTTCTAAACTTTTTTCTCCAGAAAGAGTTGTTCTTACAGTGAACCACTATTAATGATTGGAAAATCATATTTTGTGGATTTGTTTGAATAAGGAATAATAATCAATTTACTATTGGAGAGAGTAGATAAAAATACATGGTGTTAAGTGATGTGCAGAACTTGGTAATATAAATTCATTTATACGAAACTATGGAGTCTTAATTTTGTGTGGTAAACAATGAAATTGTGATAGGTGAGATAGATGAACCTTACGTAACATTAAGTACTTTACAAAGCTCAACATAAATGTTGTTCCCTTAATGAAGAGTTCATGTTTAACTCACTTTAAGAGTAATCTGGGGCTTCCCTCTCAACATAAATGTTGTTCCCTTAATGAAGAGTTCATGTTTAACTCACTTTAAGAGTAATCTGGGGGGCTTCCCTGGTGGCGCAGTGGTTGAGAGTCCACCTGCCAATGCAGGGGACACGGGTTCGTGCCCCGGTCCTGGAGGATCCCACATGCCGCAGAGCAGCTGGGCCCGTGAGCCATGGCCGCTGAGCCTGCACGTCCGGAGCCTGTGCTCCGCAACGGGAGAGGCCACAACAGTGAGAGGCCTGCGTACCGTGCCCCCTCCCCCCCATAAAAGAAGAATCTGACAAGATTATAACTGTTTACCAGAAGGAAAGGATGTTATTGATAGGGTATTGGAAGCAAATCCTTAGCTCAGTTCTCAGGACTAAAAAGCGGGTATTGGGTCTAAAGACCATGATGATGACATTAGAACAGCCTCTAGTCTTACTGCAGAATAGGGGAGAATCTGAACATAGTATTATGTCTTGCATGTGCAGGTGTAAATTTAAGAAACAGCTTTGGCTGAATTTGATTAGCTTCCTTATGTATATATAGTTCTAGAGCTTCTGTTTTGTCTCATTTGATCCTTACAATCCTACCCTTGACGGTAGGTGTCATGGTTTCATGATATGATAAAGGTATGCTGAGTTCTTTTCTTGGCTGTGGTATGACTTACGCGTAGCCTAGGACCTTTTTTCAGTCTTTAGTTTTCTGATCTGTAAACTGACAGGGTTGGACTTTACAGTCTATATCTCATCAATTCAGTGTAAGCTTGGTCTGGGAAGTTTTAAGATGGGATTTGTCAAACAGTAAAGAGTAGCACAGACAGGAGATACTTGAGCAAGGCTAACTGAATCACCTGCTGTCTTTGGAAAGCAGTCCTCCCAAAATAGCAAACAACTTGTTTGGTGACAATTGGAAATTGAGATTAAATAGTGGATTCCTAGGCCCATGCTTTGTTTCTTTAAAAAGGGAAAAGGATAACATGTAATAGTTATAGCCTGAGAATTTTATTTAGAAATAACTAATTTGGTGTTAAGCATTGAAACCAGTATTTTGTAGAAACTTCCATTACTAGTGAAACTGTAGTCTCCTTTTCATATACCGATTCGTTTGAAAGTTGGAGTATATAAAGTTAGGATCTGTAGAAATTAAAGATTTGCCTTAAGTGTTAAAGGATAGGGGAACAGTTCTTTTATATTCTAGAATGTGAAACTTGGTTGCTTATGGATGTCCTAGATGATTACCTTCATATATGTTATAAATTATGTATTGTGAAAAATTATGGAAATTAAAAAATGTGTTTTAGGAGAAGTTAGGTTAACGATTTTAATCACATAGTGTAAGTTTTAAAAACAGTAGTATGGTTTTAAAAAATGTGTTCTAGGTTTGATACAGCCAATTCAAGATTGTGTTACTGATAGATGATCATTTAAGAGTTTACGAAGATGAATTGTATGTTCCTTAGTTATCCACGCTTTCACTAATTCAAACATTGGGTTCCTGGTCTCTGCCAAGTCACATGTTAGCCACTGGGTTACAAAGAAAACTGTGATTCTCCTGTCCTTGGGTAATCTAGAAGATTACCAACCAGCCAAGGTTAACTTCCTTACTTATAATTGTAAGTTATATGATTTTATAAGCCCCCTTACCACGTGTAAAACTTAAAACATTTTCACACAGGGAGAATGAAGTTGAAGAAGTAAAGGAAGAAGGCCCAAAAGAAATGACTTTGGATGAGTGGAAAGCTATTCAAAATAAGGACCGGGCAAAAGTAGAATTTAATATCCGAAAACCAAATGAAGGTGCTGATGGGCAGTGGAAGAAGGGATTTGTTCTTCATAAGTCAAAGAGTGAAGAGGTAAAATGAAGTTTTGTGGTGTTTGAAAATGTTCAGATGTCTTGAATTGCATTTACAATTTTTGTGTTAAAATTTCACGTGGGTAATCTGTTTATAAAAAGAAAAGTTTTACATAGGATTATTTGAGGCAGATAAATTGCCCCAAGAGGAAAATAAACTGCATTATCATATAGTCTAAGAAATTATTCTTTCAAATTTGTGTAATATTTTAAAAAATCTTACCTAACTGGGAGTCATTAAGACTTGTATTAGGTTAGGCGGTTGGCATTTTTATGTGGGAAACTGTCTGCGTATGCCATATATAATATCCAGGAATCTTTAATAAATGGTATTATCCTTCTTTACTGAGGAGTGATGTCTTTTAAAGACCAGAGAATTAATTTATGAGTTTCCTTTCCTTAGGAAACAAGGAAACTAATGAAAATATTTGAGAAAAACGTGTGTGGCTTTTGATTTGGTAGCTTCTATTTAAGCCTTGGGGCACATTCTTAGAGGAAAATCCCACTGCTGTATCCTTTTAGGGTTTGTGTAAGTATGAGATTTTAGTCACAAAGTTAAATTGAAATGTTATGAAGGCAACCTGTAATAAAAAGATTCAATAAAATCCACATTTTAATTTTCTAAACAAAAAAATAGCTGTGAAATAAACCTGGAAATATTTTTAAATAAAATAGAGGTTTGGAGATAATTTTTTTAAAAAAACATTTTTTTGTTGTTGTCATCGTTTGCTTTTTTTTTTTTTTTTTTTTTTGCTGTACGCGGGCCTCTCACTGTTGTGGCCTCTCCCGTTGCGGAGCACAGTCTCCGGACGCGCAGGCTCAGCGGCCATGGCTCATGGGCCCAGCCGCTCCGCGGCATGTGGGATCTTCCCGGACTGGGGCACGAACCCGTGTCCCCTGCATTGGCAGGCGGACTCTCAACCGCTGTGCCACCAGGGAAGCCCTGGAGATGATTTTTTAAACATTGACTTTGTGAAGGTAGTATAAATGAGGATATTAAGTGTCAATTCCTGTAGGAAGAAAAAACATCTTCCTTCGTTAGAATGCTTTTGGTTATTTTTTTGTAGTTCTTGCAGATGAAGTTGTTTTGTGTATCTGTGTAAAACAAAGAATTCTTTATTTAAAGAACCATAAAAGTTCTTCGGGGAGTTCTTCGGGGAGATTGTTCATTTGAACTAATTATTAAACTGTTTAGGTTAATGTGAAAGAGATTTACTTTGGCACCTTGGAGACAATTATTCATGACCTTTTTGGGGTCCTGACGGAACTTTTCTCCAGAGTAGGACACGTAGATATAAAATGTTTTGATATATTGTATCATTATTATCATTTATACCCTGAAGCCTTTTCATGCATTTTTTAGACATCAGGTTAGGTGTCCCAGCTTTAAGTATTATTTTACATTGAGCTTTTAAGAAATAACTATTACACAAGGTGATGTATATAATTAGAAATTTTAGAAAATTATAAAATGTGAAATTGGTGGTGAATAATCTGGAAATCAAAACATTTTCATTATCAAGCCACTTTTGTATGTTTGGACCCTTATAGTTATGCTGCCTTTGTGATGTATGTACATGAAATCCAGCCTTACTGGCATATATCGCCTCATTTGAATACAGATTGATCCCAACTTAGAACTTTTTGGTTTTTTGATTTTAAAATGGTGTGAAAACAATGCACATATAGTAGAAACCATAGTTCAAATTTTGAATTTAGATCTCTCAGGCTGAATATGCAGTACTCGCTACTCTTTTGTGATGCTGGGCAGCGGCAGCGAGCTGCAGTTCCCAGTCAGCCTCCTGGTCATGAGGGTAAACAACTGATACACTTAAAACCATTCTGTTTTTCACTTTCAATACTGCATTTAATAAATTATGTGAGATATTTAACAGTTTATTATAAAATAGGCTTTGTGGTTTTGTGTGAGATGATTTTGCTCAACTATAGGCTAATGTAAATGTCCTGAGCACATTTAAGGTAGGCTAGGCCAAGCTGTGATGTTTGGTAAGTTAGGTGTATTAAATGTATTTTGGACTTAAAGATATTCAGGTTTTATCAGGATGCAACACCATTGTAATTTGGGGAAGATTGGTATGATGGGTCTTCAAGTTTGTTGTATACAATGCTTTAAGTATTCTTTCTCTTTTACTTATCTTCATCTTGACAACAAATATGAAGTAGTTAGGGAAGGAAAGAAACTTTGAGAAATGAAGAACTGAATTATTGACAGCTGAGACCAGAGCTCTTATTTCCTCATTGTCATACAGTGCTCTAGAAAAAAAAACTTCGTAAAAAATTTATCCTATTAGTTAACTTGAAGGTTGGGAATGTAACCTGAACATCCAGACTTCCTCTTTATTATTATAGTAAAACCTTCAAGATGTTTTCAGTAGTATATCAACTTAAGTTTTTTTTGCTTCTGTGCTCTGGAAACCTATAAATGCCTTTTTTTTTTTGGCGGTACGCGGGCCCTCTCACTGTTGTGGCCTCTCCCGTTGTGGAGCACAGGCTCCGGACGTGCAGGCTCAGCAGCCATGGCTCACGGGCCTAGCCACTCTGCGGCATGTGGGAGCCTCCCGGACTGGGGCACGAACTCATGTCCCCTGCATCGGCAGGTGGACTCTCAACCATTAGCCACCAGGGAAGCCCTATAAATGCTTTTAATTGATAAATTGATATCATTGCAATAGCTAATGTTTAAAATCAGAGACTTATTATATATCATTGACTTTAATTTGCTAGTGATTTTGTGGGTTTGCATCTGTGTTTTATGCTCCTTTATAATATTTTAAAAAGAATCTTCTGTTGCCTTTAAATTTAACCTAAAGGGATGACATTTAATATGGGTATTTGATGATTAAAGGAATGAAAATCTGTGTACAAATACAAAATTTATTTGTACTTAAAAGATAATTATTAACAGTTGTAATATTACAAGCTATTTAGAAAGAGTGAAATATCTCTTCAGAAAAGAGGATTATACGTGTATTTAGAAAAATTGAAACATACTTCAAATTAGTATGAGAAGTTTCTAACTAGAAGATTAAAACCCATTCACCCCAAGCATACAGAAGAGATCAGACATTAAGCAGTGTAAAATTCTCTGGCCTTTTTTTGCACAGTCCATTATGTAGCTTAGGATCTGGGTTTCCCAAATATGATGACTTCATTTTTAAGAAGGTTCCTGTGGTAAATTTAAGGCATGGTTTTATTTGTGCACAGCTTTTCAAGGTTCCTTTCTTACGTAATGTTGTGTTTCACTTGAATTTGTAGTTCTCCAATTTATATGGAAGAACACATAGTTAAATATTAACAGAAAAGCATTTTGTGAAGTTTATATATAATTTCTTTCCCAAGTCATAGTTGGAAGAGTATAGAGCAAAAGTTCTCTTTAAAACTTAAATATTCAATAATGTCTCTAATAGAAATATATACCATCTATCCAAGTCTTCCTCAGAGGTTCACATTGGAATGCTAATCTGAAGGGCATATTTTAAATGTACTTATTCATACTTCACTGCTAAAGATGATGATTCAGTAGGTGTGAGATGGGGCCCAGCCACTTGAATAGTTGTGATTATATCTCTAATCAAGACTTGCTAATATCATCTATAATTTAAAGTTAAGGGAACATGAAATAGAGAAAAGTGAAAGGATTTATTCTTCCTAGATTACTGTAGCTGATCCCAAAGCTTACGTATTACCTGTAGAGGTGTTTCTATATTTTTTCGCACAAAGAGCAGGTTGGATTTTTGGTCTTTTTAGGAGAAAACTCATTATTTAGAAGTGTGCAACATTACTTTCCTATTAATCATCCAGTGGCCTTCACTTAAATTTTTAGGCTCATGCTGAAGACTCGGTTATGGATCACCATTTCCGGAAGCCAGCAAATGATATAACGTCTCAGCTGGAGATCAATTTTGGAGACCTTGGCCGCCCAGGACGTGGTGGCAGGGGAGGACGAGGTGGCCGTGGGCGTGGTGGACGTCCAAACCGTGGCATCAGGACTGACAAGGTAGTTTTAAGGCTTCTTTTACCCTTTTAAGTAATTCGAGGACCTCTTTCCATAAATCACTGCCCTAGGTCCTTTTGGGGACATAAGTCAAAGAAGAAAAACGTTGACATGCATGCCTTTAAGAAATTGCATTTTAGGTTATATTTTTTGTTTAAAGCACTTACGTGACTGAATAGTGCTGCCAGTAGTTAAGTTTACCACCCTTCATCGAGTACTTATCTGGTGCCAGGTGTGGTACTGTGCTAAAAAAACAAAAACAAAGAAAAACCCCACCATTTTACAGAAGATGAAATTCAGGTGAAGGGAACCAAGGTAATTCTTGGCCTTTGGTAAGGTCTGCCTGAAATGCCAAATACTTACTTTGCCTTGACAAATCTTCACTGCTTTTTAGGGCGCAGCTTAATAAAACTTTTGTTTCCTTTGTATAATTTTGTGGCATTGACTGACTGTTTTTTGTTCATGAGAGCTCTTCTGTAAGTTGGGATTCATTTGTGTCCTATTTTCTGTAATCTCCATTGCCTTGTACTAAGTGTGACAAAAAACAAATTCTTCTGAAATACTTTGATAGAAGCCCTAGTAATTGGTAGATTTGAAATGATCTGTCGGATGCCAAAGTCCATGGTTTTAATGACTAGATGTTACTAAAGTATTAGAGATAACTTGGGTTAGTTTATTGTCTTTTATGGTCTACCTAGGAAACAACCATAATGTCCTCCTGAATTCTCAACACCTGATATGCAAATTGGGGGACCCATCTGCTTGACTGAGTCTGCCAATGTTTGATTATAGTGGTAACTTAATATCCTAGATTTTTATGGTCACCCATAACATTGTAGTGATATTTTGTTTTTATTTCTTTCTGTGACATGGGTTCTTTTTAAAGGCATTGTGTATATGGATCTTTTCAATACTTTTTTGTTTTGTAAAAATTTGTATTGACTGTAAATAGCCATGAATGTGCTGCTTCAATAACTGTAATTGGTTTCTTAACCTGCTTTCACATTGATGCCATTCTTATTTAGCAAGTGGGGAAAATAAAAGGATACTGAACAACTGAGTAAGAATCCACATACATACCTTGTGTGAATCTACTTGTGTGATTTATTAGAAAAATAACCCATGCTGTTACTAGGGAATTTTCTGAGATCTTGATAGAAATTTAGGACAAGGCTCATTGCAAATATTTGTAGTCCTATTCTTTTTTTTTTTAATTGGAGTATAGTTGGTTTACAGTGTTGTGTTAGTTTCTGGTGTACAGCAAAGTGAATCAGTTATACATATATCCACTCATTTTTAGATTCTTTTCCCATATAGGTCATTACAGAGTATTGAGTAGAGTTTCCTGTGCTATACAGTAGGTCCTTATTAGGTATTTGTTTTATATATAGTAGTGTATATATGTCAATCCCAGTCTCTCCCCCACTGTAGTCCTGTTCTGATCCATAATTTTGCCTTTCAAAAGTAAAAGCTTTGACATATTTTACTTATTGTAATAAGACTAAGTTTTTTCAGAATTCTGTGTCTAAATGTAGACACTGGAAATATATTAATAAGATTTGAAAATCTTTAATTTTGCTTCTGTTTCTTTTTCAGTCAAGTGCTTCTGCTCCTGATGTGGATGACCCAGAGGCATTCCCAGCTCTGGCTTAACTGGATGCCATAAGACAACCCTGGTTCCTTGTGGACCCTCCTCTTTGAGGCTTGCATGCTTAAGGATCCCAAACGACTAAGAAATTTAAAAAAAAAAAAAAAAAAAAAGACTGTCATTCATACCATTCACACCTAAAGACTGAATTTTATCTGTTTTGAAAATGAACTTCTCCTGCTACACAGAAGTAACAATATGGTAGTCAGTTTTGTATTTAGGAAATGTATTGGTAGCGGGGATGTTTTCATAATTTTCAGAGATTATGCATTCTTCATGAATACTTTTGTATTGCTGCTTGCAAATATGCATTTCCAAACTTGAAATATAGGTGTGAACAGTGTGTACCAGTTTAAAGCTTTCACTTCATTTGTGTTTTTTAATTAAGGATTTAGATGTTCTCCCTATTACAAACTGGTTTTAAATATTGGACATAATAGCAGTTTTAATACCTGCTTTGCATTTTCACACATGGTCAACTGAGACATGTAAACTTTGATTGTCAAATTTTATGCTGTGTGGAATACTAACTACTTTATGTATTTTAACTTAGTTTTAATATTTTCATTTCTGGGGATAAGGTCTTTTTTCACTTCTCATGATAGCTGTTATATATGCTAAATCTTTATATACAGAAATATCAGTACTTGAACAAATTCAAAGCACATTGGTTTATTAACCCTTGCTCCTGCATGGTTCATTAGGTTCAATTTATAATTGATTCACAATTTCAATTACATTTTACTTTTAAAATATGTCACTTTCCTGTTTTAAAAACCAATCTAGACACCTTACTGGTGAAAGTTGTTTAAGCTACTTATTATTGATAGACACATACTGTTAAGTGAAGTAGTTTATGGGTGTTGGGTTTTTCCTCCTCCAGTAGGGTGGGTGGAACAAGTTAATTTGGCTAATGCGTAATATTTAAACTGCTCTGTAAAGTAAGTGGCCACTCAGTATGATTTGTATGTGTGAAAGGTCCCAACTCAAAATTGTACATCCATAGTCAACCCTTCAACCCTTGTTCTAAAGAAACCAAAGGGCACTGGTTAGTATGGTAAGGGGGCGGGGTATGTTAATTTTTGGAATTTGGAAAGCAGACAGCTTTACTTTATAAGGTTGGAACAGCAGCACCATCCATGAAATACAAACCAAAAATTTTACTGTTTCTGAATTTCCTATATTGCTATTCATTTTGGTTTTAAGTTGATAGATTCCACAGAAAGTGATAAGTATCTTTTACCTCTTCCTCCGTTAGAAAATTAGGTTAATAATGAATTTCTTGATCGAGAGCATCACCACTGACTAAAACGTACATGGAGAGAATAATCAAACAGGCTTTCTAGGACCTTTTTTTAAAAGTCTTCTGCAACATTTATTGATCAACAGGAAAGGGGTTTTATTTACAGTTTTGAAGATCTTTTTGTCACTATTAGTAATTTTCTATCTATGTATGGTAATGTCCAGTTTTTAAAATACTTTATGATTTAAGACTTTAAATCATAAAATGTCTGTTTAGCTGATTAGTTCTCCCCTATACTTCTAAATGAGAAATTGTACAGTACAAGAGTTGTTCATTGGGATTAGATTTATTAACCTAGTTACCTACTAGTTTGACATCTTAGGAAGGAGGTGATTTTTTTTAATGATGGATAAACTTGTGCTGGTGTTTTAGATCTTATGATGCTGAGCATGTTCTGCACTGGTGCTAATGTTTGACATAATTTTATATTTACAAACATACCTGCTACCCAGAGGCAAGTATTAATTTAGTCCATATGGACTATTACCCCTCTTGAGACTGCAACATACACACTCCTAAACACACTCATACATAAGTGTGTTTAGACTTAGAAGTATCTTAACTCATTTCTGGACATGAATGTGTTATAAACCTGATTTCTAGCAACATATAAAAAAACACTGCTATTAAAAACCCATCACAAGTTCTATTCATTGTCAGCCGTTGCTGGCATTCTGTCACTAGAGAATACACAGCAATATCTGGTATGTTGCAAGCTTTCAAGATAGCTTGGAATTTAAAAGTTGGTCCATTAGTTGTATCTGATGGATGTAAATTTGCCTCGTAGTTCACTTTGTGTCAAGAGCTAAAACTGTGAACCTAACTTTCTCTTATTGGTGGGTAATAACTGAAAATAAAGATTTTATTTTCATGCTCACTTTTTAAAAGTCATAAAAACAAATAGGAGCCCATTTATCGTCATGTGTTTTCTGACCTATGTGTGCACCCCCAACGGTAATGCTCATATTTCTTTTTTCCTCCTTAAACTTAGGTTTTGTTTATGTGGGGTGTTTATTAAACTAGGCTGTCAACATTTGGGAGGGATACCTATTTTAATTATTATAATAAGAAAGTTCTTGTAAAATGAGTTTCAAGGACTGACAATTGGCGTTTCTTTTTAGCAAACCATGTTTTTGAGTGTGACGGTTAACCATACTGAATGTTGGGGGTTGTTTGTTTTTTGGTGGCTGATAGAATGTTCTAATGAACTTTTATCTTGATGCTTTTAAATGGAAATAATGCCAGAGCTTATATTTTTTATTAACATGTTTCCAGTTTGCATTGATGATTGGGATAAGGTCTCTTTTTTATAATTAAATGTTTTGAGACCTGTGCGGAGTTATGAAAGATTTTAAAATGTGTCACTAGGCACTATACGTCTAAGTTTACTCAGTTTTATTTAAAAAGTGGAGGCAGGACATATATCTAGTTGTAAATACATTTGGGGCTTGTTGGTGTGGGTGTGGAGGGAGAATATTAAGTATTCATTTTTATTGTGTTATTTTTCGAATTGCTATAGATGGTTGTCCTGAAATAGAAAAATTTTGTTATGCTGTTAGGGAGTTGCATAGAAAGTATTAATACGATATATTGGATTTTTTAAATATATTTTTAAGAGCACTAGCATTATATGGAAAGAATCAACAAATAGTAAAGGGCTAAATAAAAACAGAAATGTGGAGCTACTAGAACTGGAATGATTTTGACTTTAAGGTAAGATCATATCAGGTATACTAATGGACATCTGTATTCCAACGTTGAAGTAATTGGTAAAGCAAATTCTCAGGCTCTCAGATGCCTGTAGTTCTACCTTGTAAAGAAAATAAGTAAATGCTTAGAAAATAGATTCTAACGCAGACATTTGTAATTCTGCTGAGATTAACGTGTACATAAATGTTTAGGGAGTCGGAACACTTACAAGCCACATCTCCAGGTTCACTGGAGAAAGCCCAGAATGTGATGACTAGAATGCTTTACAGTAGTAACAAGGCAGTAAAATCCCTAGTCACATTTTTCAGTTCTAGTAATTAGTGAGATAATCTATAAACATTGTAGAACTATCAGGTTTTATCATTGAGCTGTATGTTAAGTGGCAGCTTTCAGAAATTTGGGCTCAATGATTTTTTGCTCGGCCTGGGTTTACCTATGACATGTTCTCTCAGCTTCAGAATCTTACTTGATCTAAGTTAGACAAATGGAGAAGTGATTGAAATAAGTCAAGCTGAGAGGAGTTCATTAGATCAGTAATATGGGGAAAGGTTGTAACCTAAAGATAAGCTTAATTTTCAGTGATTAGGATATAAATTATTGAAATCATTACTAACATTGGAAATGAGTAATGAGTATCACTTAAATAAGTGCTATGTCTAAGCCAGGGGTCAACAGATTTCAGCCTGTGGCCTGTTTTTGTATGGCTCCTGAGCTAAGAATGGCTTCTACATTTTAAAAGGATTAAAAATTATTCTATAAAGATGTGTGTAGCCCACAAAGCTTAAAACATCTGGTCCTTTACAGAAAATGTTTGCTGACCCCTGATCTAAGCCATCACTCTCAGGTCAACATATAAGTTTTAAAAAAAAAAAAAAAGTTTACCTCCAGGTACAGATTAAATCACCCTACCTCCTGGGAAGTTGTGAAATTAGAAGTATTTAAAAAAATTTTTGTTTACCCCTTACCTCTAATCAGAATAGGCAAGATACTTGATAGCTTCTTAGTAAAGAAGATCTTGTTATTTAAAAAATTGTTTAGCTTGCAAATTCTGAAAGCTGTTAGGAAAGTATAAATTTGCTAAAATAGTATATTTAGTGCCCGATTATAGTTTTTCACATTTAGTGGCACTTAACCACTTAGTGCTAAGATAATTCTGTTGTGCTAATTTTGGCTTTTCTGTAAGATGAGAATTATGAGTATTTTGTATAGGTAAGAAAACTAATGTCTCTAACTCCATAGGTTGACTGGGGCAGGAATTAATGGCTTCTGAGGACTGCATTTCTCAGCTTAACCAGGAGGTAATCTGGGCAGAATCTAGCTTTTGTGCCATTACTTCTGTCTTAAATAACGGAGTCAGTTGTTCGCTTCTGTCTTACAAAATAACTGGAAGTCAGTTTGCTTTGAAATGGAAGGAAAGAAAAGGTGAGAAACGGCCTGTTCAAGTTAGAAAATAATTTACCAAATTACGTTTTTGTTGGAGATGTTAATTACATAGGTAGTGTTAAATCAGTAACATTTGTCCCTTTTGTTGCCCATTGGGGGGGGTATGACAGTTCTATTGCACTTGAATGTGTCTTCTGGCACTTGAATGTGTACTCTAAGTCTTGTGCTTGGAAAACATAAAAGAGATGCTGATAACTAATCTGACAATTCTGGTTCATAATGGATTTTTTAATGGGTTTTTTTAAACCATTTTTTAAAAGTGATGAGAATTGCTCTGAACTGATCTTGCTGTGGCTTTACTCCTTAAATAGCTGCCTTAGTGTTACTGGTATGGAAATGTGAAAAGCAAAGGGCTAGTGAATATTTAGGATTTTGTTATTTGGAGAACTGAGAAGGTATTTGGGAAGTAGTTTGTTTGGACAGTATTGTTTACACTATATACAATACATGGTATAATATACACTATATAGTTTACACTGTCACCTTAATTGCAATTGTAGTTGATTTCTCTCACAGATTTTAGGACCTAGAAAGAGCTTCAATTTGAAGAAATGTTACAGGTTTTCATCTACCTAGAATGGAGGTTTTGTGTAAAGTGATGCAGTTGAACTTGGTTCTTGACATTGCCCAGAATTTTGTCAGATGGGATCTTAAGTTTTTTATTAGCTGATGAATAATGTCAGAAATTATGGGAACTTTTACATGTTGAATTCGTTGTTTCACACCTTGGGTGTAATAATCTATAGTGAAATGTTACTTTGGCAACCATACTGACAAAAGTTAGATGAGCACATGTTTAGACATTTTGTCAAAGTGCTCAGGCTGCCAGGGGTTGACTAAACACATCAATGAAGATGGTAGAATCCTCCCCACCCCCCAACACTATTTCATAGCTGAAAATATGTAGGCTTACATAACTAGCAAAATGAACTAAACACAGAAAACCTTTCTGTTTAGAGATACAGTGGTTTGTCTTTTCTGTGGAAATTCTGAATTTCCAGTGAAGCTTCCACATTTTTTTTTCCCAGTCAAAGAGGAAGACCTTTTCCTAAAAACTACAGATAATTTGGTTTCAGCTTGATCTTGTATACTTGTTTATCAAGGTTTCACTTAGGTGCTACAGTTGTAGTAGCTTCTTAAATATGCCATGGAAGACTGGATTGGATAAAACTACTTTTCATGCAGGTGTTCATTGGTCACTAATCATACGAAGAAAATCAGCATACCCAGCCACGTATATTGTGTGTGCTTCAGACCACTGTGTTTTGTTCATAACACTATCCCTTGAAGATTGAGTGGCACTTTGTCACTGCATCGACAAAATCCAGTAGATGAAAGTGTTTAACATTGAACAGTTGGATTGGCCCACCCCCACTCAGCCCCACATTTTGAGTCAAATGGTGGAGCTGGAAGTCACGTTGACAGAAATAGAGAAGTGCTTTGGAGGCTGTATAATACCAGGCGAAAATATTTGCTTGAAGAACT